CGTCTAAAAAAAATAAACAAAAGACTGTATACTCTTATTTTTTATCTTATCATTCTCTCAGATTCCGATCCATATTTGATCTACATTTGATCCCAAACTCACAATTTTATTCAGTATTACTGCCCTTCAATCTATGCAACAACACATAACAACCAAATAACAAATAAAACTTGATTTGTTGTTTCCATGTCTTGCTGTTTCTCATTTTTTTTGAGTATTTTTGTATATATAAATGTTAGTGGGTTTATAATTATTTATTCAGAGTTATAATTCCCCTACAATACCATTGGATTAAGAGGCAGACAGTATTATCAAGAAAACCTTGAAACGAGAATCCTATTTAATTATGGCAGCACTGATAGCCTAAATAGTTAATGTATTCTCAATGAAAGATGAGATTACATACTGTCTCCTTTCATTTTAACTATTATCTTATGTGGGTCTCAATGGGGGTAACAGTTTCTTTCTGCTACTGCCTGTGTAAATAAAGTAGATATAGGAAGGTGACTTGGCCAAGTCCCCACTCAACAAATCTTTTGATTGGAACCTGTCAGTGTTGACAATAGAGGTAACAGCTTTTTCCTCACACATCTAAAATAAAAAATTAAATCTCTTCTTTGGTCATCAGATCTAATGTAATTTAATTAATTTAAGGAATCTATTTTGTATATTCCAGCCCATGTCCCTTTGTGGTTGCTGCTTCGTTTGATGCTATTCTTGCTTTTTAGAGATATAGTTGGCATAAATGGAATAACAGCAAAAAAAAAGGACAGAGGCAAAAATTTACCAAATAGATTGTACAAAGTGCCCAATGTTGTACATCAGTGAAACATCCAGAAACCTCAAAGAAAAAAGACTATGAGCTAGATGATATCAGTGAAATTAAACATCTACACCCTTGTGCAAATTAAATGAAACAAAACAAATAATTCTGTTATTATTTACGTTTTTTGTATTTTTCCAATGAAACATGACTCAGTGCACATCTTAGTACTTTGTGTGCTCATTCCACAAAGTCGGTCCTTGCAATTTGATCACAGATTCTTGATTAAAATCAGATTTTCCCATCCAGTCTATAGTACTTTGATTTACTCACTGGTAAGGCTTGCCAGTGTGTTCGTACAGTTACAATTTTCATACGCTTCCTTGGAGTAAGGTCCATTACCAACAATGGCTGTAGGACAACTAATCAACAGTTGAGACAATAGTGTTTGGGTGTGATAAAAATCTGATGCTATTATTGTTGACACAATATTTTTCAAAGCCAAACAAATTTCATCATACACCCTGAAAATAGATTCATATTACTGCACGCCACTACAAATGACCTCATCTGTGGAAAAAATAGAAATTGATTACACTCTGTCACTCCAGTGGGTCTAAAACTGACCAAATAGTGAAAGAAAGGAAACTAAAGCAGTTGTTTCAATTAATTTGAACATCAGTGAAACATTCAGAAAGCTCAAAAGAAAAAGACTATATAAGCATTGCAGAGATATGCTGCATACCAACACTTTAAATATACTGGTAGTTCACTGGAATACAGCTGACCACAATTTTGACTTAATAAATGCTAGTCTGATCAGGAGAGAAAAGAGTTCACTTGGAAGAAAATGTACTGAGAGTGTGCTAATCTTGAAATTTTCAACAATAAACCCAAGACCAGGGTCATACATGATATCACTGATCATTGTAAAGGCAAAAATAGACCAAGAGAAAAAAGACGGAGATCTACTTGGAGTGGACTAATTTATAATCCAACAGACAGCAACAGCTCTAATATACCGGGTGTAACAGCAAAATTGTCCAGATCGTATAACAGCAAAATATCCAGTTGTTAGATTAAGCTTTGAACCGTTGTATCTTAGAAATGATTAATGATATCTTACTGGAATTCTAATTTTTTATAATACAATTTGACTCTACTTTGAGTAATAAGAATGTATAGTTACTCTCCAGGCTTAACAAAAGAATTGGGATGAAATGGTTCATAAGCAAAATGACATTCATTCTCATTAAAAAAAGCTTTAACACTTTGTCTTATATATATATATATATATATATATATATATATATATATATGATAAAAATATAATCTTAAGGTATGCTATATTTATGCGTAAAAGTGCTCAGGGATAGAGTGTCTGCATGGCTTGACAAATGCGTTTTAGTATCAAATAGATTGCCACTGCTGGGTGTTGACTTCAATGTCCACTCTTATATATATATATATATATATATATATATATATATATATATATATATTGTGTGTGTGTGTGTGTGTGTGTGACAGATTGGAAAAATTTTTGTGAGGCGTTTCATCTGTTAGGATTTCATCAGGCTGGGATGAAACGTGTCACAAAAACTATTTTAAAATTTGTCATACTATTTTTTCTAAATACTGTTTGTTGACATGTAAATAAAATTACAAGGTAACCAAAAAAGTTTTTAAAGGAAAAAAAGAAAACGCTTCACATTATGTGTAACTTATATTTAGTCTTTGAAGTAATCGCCATCTGCATCCAGGACCTTCTGCCAACGTGTCTCCAGCTGTTCAAGGCCCTTGCGGTAGAACTCGGGGGTTTTGACGCAAAGAAGTACGTGAGGGCTTTGCGCAAGTCTTCTTCATTGGTGAAGGATTTCCCATGAAGATGATTATCCAGGGAGTGAAAGAGGTGGTAATCGGATGGCGCAAGGTCAGGTGAATAAGGTGAATGGCACAAAGTCTCCCACCCAAGTTGCTGTATGGTATCCCTGACCACTCGCGCGACATGCAGCCTGATGTTGTCATGGAGGAAAAGCACACCTTTGCGATTCACCAGTGCTGGATCCTTCTGGCGCAATGCCTGTTGCACACGTTTCAATTGCTGCGAGTATAGGTCTCCAGTGACCGTTTGGCCCGTTGGTAGTAGTTCATAATGAACCACTTGACGACTTGTCCACCAGACACAAAGCATAATCTTGCGTGGGTGCATAGGCGGTCTTGCGGTGTGAGGGACAGCATCCTGAGGAGACAACCAATGTCTGGAATGCTTGGGAGTTTCGTACAGAACCCACTTTTCATCACTGGTAAGCACTCGATTGAATAAGAATGCGGTACGGTGACGAGAAAGCAGCGATACGCAGGCTGCCATTGTCGTCACTTGCTCAGTTTGTACGTCTTACCTAGGCAGTGCAGGTGAAGTCTAACTGTTTCATCGGAAACGTTGAACTGTCTTGCAAGTTCACCACACATTAGACTACTGTCCTCTTCAATGGCCGCTTTCAGGACTCCGTCATTGAATACCTGTGGTCGTCCACTGCGAGGCTCATCATGGAGAGACAAATCTCCCGACTTGAATTTTCGAAACCAACGCCTTGCAGTACATTCATCCACAGCACTATCCCCAAACACTTGACATGTGCGGCGACTTGATGCAGCTGCTGATAAGCCCACTTTGAAGTCGTAAAGCAAACAGCCCCGAATGAGATCTCTAGACACTTCCATCCTTCTCACAACAGTCCGGCTTATAACGGCATTTAGTAACGGTTTAGTATATAAAATTATATATCTTTATATTATGCACACACATGCGTGCATACACAAACACACACACATACACTGATATATATATCTATGTATGTATGTGTTTGTGTGTGTAAAAATTTAAGATAATGTATATCTGTAAAAGGACAATATGTATGATGAGAAAAGGAAACATTTTCTTAGCCGTCACATTTCATCCTCTGGGGACTTTCTCAATCTTGATAAATTCCTTCAGAGGACAAACACCTCAGCTAAGATTAGTTTTCCTTTTGTCTTTATTCATATATATATATATATATATATATATATATATATATATATATATATATATATATATATATAGTTGCATATGTATATATGCATTCCTCTCTACTGCATGCTTAATTAAAAATAACTGAAGCATGCCTGTTATATTTTTGTCATTTTCTTGTGCTTGAAAGATATTGACTTTGAACATGGCCATAATGTAATGACCATATTCAGGAATTAAAAATAAGTCTACCTCTCAGTAACTTACATATCATTTGCAATAGCACAACCAAATTCCTATAAAATGGCTAATAGAGTAGTTGAAAGTGTGGGAAGCAAACAATCATTTAGACAATTTCTTTACCCACTATATACAAAATAAATCACTTATTTACATACAGGAAAAGCCCAAGAAAAAAACTTAATGTAATTACTTTGTCACCCATTTACATCTAAATAATATATGACCATAAATGGCCAGCATACACATTTAGAAATATATTAGATTAAAATACAAACTTTAGTGTGGACAATTTTTCGATTTTATCTAGGTCCCACTCTTCATATCACCTCAAGGTTCTAGAGTCCTTGTATATCAGATCCCATGGGCCTTCCCTTTGTAAACAGAGGGAATGCTTACTGGGTCTGAACATTATTGGACTCTAGTTTTCCTGAAATTCATTTTTTTCCTTCCTTCCATTCGTTATATTAATTAAATTTACACATTTATATATTTTTTATATTCCAGAAAATAAATCTGATAAGGCTGGGACAAAACCAGTTGTTCTTTTTTAGCTTTTTAAAATGCCATGTAAACTTTGCTTATTCCTTGCTATATATATATATATATATATATATATATATATATATATATATATATATATATATATGTATATATATATATATGTGTGTGTGTGTGTGTGTGTGTGTGGAGAGAGAGTGAGATTAATTTGTTTCCTATAGCTTATCAACACTTTGCAGGTTATTTAAAGCTAGAATATTATTTTTTTAGATTGTAATAATTTTGGGGTAGATAATAATATTTTTAGTGATACAAGTCTTACTAATTAACCCATAGCTGAGGGGAGAAGAGGTGGATTCATATCTTTCTCAAGGGTATTTGCATGTAAGTGAATATAATTAACCCAACTTTAATTGGAACTTGACTCTTCGATTAGCAATTCTGAGCCATTATTCATTACATCACTTGCACATCCAAGCTTAAAGCACTTGGTATTCCCAAGCAGTTGCTCATCTTGGTACTGACCAGGCTCGATGTTGCTTAACTTCAGTGATTGTATGGGATCTATTGTTTCAATGTGATGTGGCTGTAAGCCTTAGAGAGAGAAAAAGAGAAAGAGAGAGAGACAAAGAGAGAAAGAAAGATTGAGAAAGAGAGAGAGAGAGTAAGAGAAAAAGAGAGAGAAAGAGCAATAGAGAAAGGGGAGAGAGAGAGTTTTAAAATTGCAAGCTGTCTTTATGAATAAATGATTAGTTTTTCATATTACATTACAAAATAAAAAAGGTAAAAAGAATGAAGAAAGTGAATTTAATTTGTATACTAATTTATCTGTTCCAAAATGATCAAGAAAGACGTCTATATTGAAATTGCTTTCTTCATCAGCTATTGATAAGGCCAAACAGTCCGTCTCACCCACTCCTGACAAATGTAAGATGTTACTGCAGTGCAATCAATAAAATACTCATCTGTTGTTATATTTACATAAATCATTGAGTCCTATAAGTACCAAATTACAAATAGTTTCTGAAACATTAACACTTTGTCCAAAAAGGCCTTCCATTCCAGAGGTCAACATAAGGTTACGTTTCTCATGTTTTTCCCAGTCTTAACTTATAGAGATTTGATATTTAGTTTTATGGCTTTTTTAAAAAAATCATTTAATTCCAAGCAAAGCAATGAAACAAATGAGACATAAGGGCTTACTGAGTATAAAAGACAAAATAGAGTGAAGGAAACTGAGAAAAAATATTCATGAGGAGAAAGTCCAGGATTCAAGGAGACATATAACGATGATTGATGTTGCATTTAAATTTTTGAAGATCGTATTTGAGAGGAAAGCAAGAAGGAAACTGAGAAAACATTACTGAGGAGAAAGGACAATAAAAAGAACAGGATTCAAGGAGACATTGGTGTTACATTTAAATGTTTGTAGATTGTAGTTATCAGGAAAACAAGAAGGAATCTGAGAAAACATTATTGAGGAAAAAGGGCAGTAAAAAGACCAGGATTCAGGGAGACAGATTATGATGATTGACATTGCATTTAAATCTTTTGCTGTTTTTAATTGACAAGAAAGCACAAAACTGGCCGTGAGTTTGACAGACGAGAAATGCAGGAAAAGAAACTATTAAACTTACATGGCATTTAAAAAATTACTTTCACAAAAAATGCCTCTAAATGAACCATCACTTTAATTAGAAAAAAATTCCTTATAAATCTATGTTCTGGAATCTCGTATTGGGATCATAAGAGAATGGCATTATATCCAGTTTTGAGATCATAAGAGAATAAAATTATGTCCACTTTTGGGAACATGAATAAATGTGATTATGTCTTCTTTTGGGAACATAAGTGAATGGGATTTTGTCCTCTTTTGGGATCATAAGAGAATGGCATTATGTCCACTTCTGGGATCATAAGAGAATGGGATTATGTCCACTTTTGAGATCATAAGAAATTGGGATTAGGTTCACTATTGGGGTCATAAGAGAATGGGATTATGTCCACTTTTGGGATCATAAAAGAATGGGATTATGTCCACTTTTGAGATCATAAGAGAATGGGATTATGTCCACTTTTGGGATCATAAGAGAATGGGATTATATCCACTTTTGGGATCATAAGAGAATGGGATTATGTCCACTTTTGAGATCATAAGAGAATGGGATTTTTTCCTCTTTTGGGATCATAAGAGAATGGGATTTTGTCCTATTTTGGGATCATAAGAGACAGGGATTATGTCCACTTGTGAGATAATAAGAGAATGGGATTATGTCCACTTTTGAGATCATAAGAGAATGGGATTATGTCTACTATTGAGATCATAAGAGAATGGGATTATGTCCACTTTTGGGGTCATAAGAGAATGGGATTTTTTTCTCTTTTGGGATCATAAGAGAATGGGATTATGTCCACTTTTGGGATCATAAGTGAATAGGATTATGTTCATTTTTGGGGTCATAAGAGAATGGGATTATGTCCACTTTTGAGATCATAAGAGAATGGGATTTTATCCGCTGTGTGCTAACCTTGTCCTGTTTCTTTTTTTCCAGTGACTTTTGTTACTTTTTAATGCCACATCTCTACTAAAACATTTTAAAAACAACAGAGATAAAGATACTCATTTGGAAAATGTATGGAATAATGAAAGTACATTATCATGTGCCATGTGTGATACATGCTTAGGTGATCATGTATCTTTCGATACATTACTGACGAGTCAGATTTTTCCTGCAATAGCTTGCCATTTCTTCCTGCAGTAGACCAGATGCCATCCAATCCTATAGAACCCAGTCTGTCCTGTGATTTAACCATAGCTGGGAGTAGAAGAAGAGGATTCATACCTTTCTCATGGGTATTAACACATAAGTGAATGTAATGGATTCTACTGGAATTCGAACTCGGCTCTCAGATTCCTCAATCCAAGCCGCTATCCATTACTTCACTGTGTCTCACTTTTTCATAGAACTCCAGAAAATTGTTTACTTAAAAGCAGTCTGTCATTTCATTGGAAAGGTCAACGTTTTGCTACAGCAGTCAATCTCATTGTCAGCCACAACACGCTTCTGACCATTATGGTTTGAGATGAGTTGTTATTGATATAAAAAACAGTGTCCATTGCTTTCTAATACATAAAACTTGTAGGACATGTAGTTAATAGAAGGCTATCAAAAAAGATTGTTGTTAGCAGTGAAATTAGAAAGCAACATAAATTAGATAAAAAATTCAAGAAATTAGGCATGGATAATTGCAATAATGGATATTATTTGAAAGTTTTGTGGTTCAGTAAACTCTTTATAAAAAAATCATTTCACCCCAAGCAAGCCACTTAGATGCAAAGGGATCACTGAGTGTGAAAGAAAAAGAAAAACATGATTAAGGAGCAAGAACAATAAAAGAAGAGGAATTAGGAAGACAACACAATAACACTTGGCATTGCATTTAAATTTCTGAATATCAAAGTTGATTGGTAAGCAAGAAGCCTGAAGATGAAAGAAACTGTTAGCATAGAACATCTAGCATTTTCAACTAAAAAACGATAAGACCTTGTTGCCAGTACTTAAATTCCTAAAGTATATTATATTTATATATATATATATATATATATATATATATATATATATATATATATATATATATATGTATATATAACAGGACATGATGGATAAATACTGTCATCTAAGTTACAAAAAATGAAAATAACACTGATATCTCATTTTAACAGATATATTTACCAAAATGGCAGTGAATGCTGGACAATCTCCTCACAAATGAAGAAGAGACTTGAAGCAACAGAAATGAAGAAAAGAGTACTGAGTTGTTACGTAATATCTGTCCTCCTATATGGCAGTGAATGCTGGACAATCTCCTCACAAATGAAGAAGAGACTTAAGATGTGGTTCTCCAGAAGAATGCTGAGTATAACACAGACTGGACATGGGAGGAATGACAGTTTTAGAGAAAATGGAAACAAAATGTAAACTTATATTTAACATCAGTAAGAGACAGTTGAAATTTCTAGGGCACATATTGAGGAAAGGGGGCTTGGAAAATCTGATACCCTCAGTACAGATTGAAGGCAAGAGGGACAGAAGAAAACAATGCATAACCTACTTAGTGAGCTTCAGTAAATGTATAACAGAACAAGGTCTAAAAAACTAACAAAAAGACAAAATTTATTAAGAGCTACAAAAGACAGGAAATTGTAGAGAGCCATGATTGCCAAAGTCCTTAAGGGACATGGCAGATAGAGAAGGATGGTCAATATTTCAAAATTCTTAGAAATGAAGATAATTCAGTAATTCTTTAAAAGAGAAAAAGATGAAAAACCAAGGGATTAGCACAATATATGGTTGTTATAAAACGACAAAATTATTTTTACATTCTTAATAATATCATATATGATTTGACTTTTTTCTTGAAAGAAGACTCCCTTTCAGCAATCCAGACTTGTTCTTTAACAGCCAATTTGTATGGTGTGCCTGCCCTGTTGACAAGGATGAAACAATCAATATTAGATTTTTTTACAATAAATAAAAAAGTTAGATCAAATATGGCAATATTGAGAATGTAAAATAATATTGCAGAATTATAACAACTGTTTGTTGCTTAACTTTTTTCCCTTTTTCTTATTCAAAGAATTTTGAATTGTTGTTTCTTCAAATATGAATTGTACTTTTGCATTTGAACTTAATTATTACTAAATTTTCTTTATATTTTTCAGTGATTGCATTTTTGGTATGATAACCAACATTAACTGAACTTATATTACCAATTCCATCAGGAATTTTTTCACAATTTAAATTTTTTAAGTTAGAACAAAGATTGCCAAATTATGTAAAACAGCCAAATTGTGTAAAACAGATCATGAGACATAAAATATAAAATAAGTTATCATCATACGACATGAAACAACCCCTCATCATAAAACAAAAAATAAACTCTCATCATAAGACATAAAACAACCCCTTATGATAAAATATAAAACATCTCATCATAAAACATAAAATAACCAGCCTCTCATCATAAAACATAAAATAACCTCTCATCATAAGGCATAAAACAACTGCTCATCATAAAACATAAAGCAACTTCTCATCATAAAACATAAAATAACCTCTCATCATAAGGCATAAAACAACTGCTCATCATAAAACATAAAGCAACTTCTCATCATAAAACATAAAATAACCTCTCATCATAAGACATAAAACAACCTCTTATGATAAAATATAAAACAACCTCACATCATAAACAACCTCTTAATGTAAGACATAGTGTAACCTCTGATCATAAGACATAAAACAACCTTTCATCATAAGACATAAAAGAAACTATCATCTTAAGACATAGTGTAACCTCTGATCATAAGACATAAAACAACCTTTCATCAAAACACATAAAACAACATTTCATCATAAGATATAAAACAACTTCTGGTAATAAAACATAATGCAACATCTCCAGCTGTCAGATTCAAACAATTGTCCATCTTGGGTGTGAAAAATCAGATTTTCAGAAAGAAATCAATAAGAAAAAAAAAAGAGAAATGTTTAAAAATCCTTTTTCATACTTTAATCTTATTAACT